CTCAGGTGAATCGCACTCTCGTACTTTGGTGATGCCAAATTATTATCGCAAATTATCGGACGCTCAGCAATAGAGAATATTCTATTGCTGAGAAATTATCGTAGTTATAATACAGTATCGCGTTTAGACGGATCAGCTGTATTTACTTTTAGCGAAGCAGCCGTCACGAGAAACCCGGCAGGAAAAAACGGGAGAGCCGTGAGAGACAACAAGCGAACTCCCGATGACAACAGTGTCTCGAGACGAAAAGTGTCTCGAGACCAGAATACCGAAATCTGCCGATTCCCGACTACCGACCACCCCAGGACGAGAGGGGCAGCGACGAGGGAGGATCCACGAGGATACATGATCCTCCCAGAGCCGATCAGCTGTTAGCCTTGCCGCGACCATTGCCGCTAATAGATAGCCTTACCGCGACTACCGCCGCGCTCAGACGCATCGAAAGCTACCGAGACAAGTATCGTGTGTGAAAGAGAGAGAGCAGAGAGAGAGAGCGGAGAGAGAGAGAGCAGAGAGAGAGAGAGGAGTGAAAGTGCGAGAGAACCGAGTGAGGTAGTGCGGAGCGAGAGAGAACGAGGAGAGAGCGAGAGAGAGTGCGGAGCGAGAGAGGACCAAGAGAGAGAGAGAGTGCGAGAGAGAGAGGATCGCCACCACTACCGACCTCACCGCCGTTATCGCCGAAGCCGCCGCCGACGCAAGGGTCGCCACTGAAAACTGTAAGACTGACCATCTGCTCTAAAATTGTTTGTGTCGCGCACCGTATCGTATCGTGTCGTGTCTCGTCCGCGGAGTGGTCGCGCGAGAAAAAAAAGGCTCGCCCGAGGAAAGCGTCCTCGGGCTTCGTGTACCGTCTCGCGAATTGTACCGTCCCGCGGACATTAACTATCGGGACGTGCGAGAGTCCCCGAATAAACGTCTTATTACTATTGCTATCGAGTCTAGTGATTTCGCTTCCTCCAACCCATCCCGTCTCCGACTTTAATTTCATAGAGCTACCGGTCCCGACGGTTCCGGGACGCGCATTTCTTTTGTGCTAATTATTTATTCTCGCGTTTATCGAGGTGGTGCGGCCTTTCCGTACCTGGCGCCCAACTCTCGCGAAAATCTTTGTGGCGTGTCCGGGAGCCGACGGCAATTTGCAGACGCGGCGAACAGGCGACTGTTTGCCGTCGCTCGCGAGAAGTT